CCTTATAAACAACATCAGCCTGGCAAACATCACCTTATATGTCCATATAAATACTTTCACAATGGCTTTGAACTCCTATGTACTGTAACTTCAAGCAGCACTCTAAAGGAGCACTCTTCACATGGCTTAAAATAACAGAGTGTCTATTCTTCCAGGATCAGGTCCTAAAGCAAAATTCTAAAAGAGTTTATTAAAAGAACCCAAAACAAAACCACCAAAATATTTTTCTTCAACGTGCAGTTCTTTAAACCGTGGGAAATAAAAAGAACTGTAATGACACCCAAGTTATTGTTAACCACACATGGGCAAAAATCATTGAGCCAAGTTTTAGCCACAGCACTGACAATAGCTATCTTCCCAGAGCCAAAGCTCAGTCGGGTCAGGCAAACCTTAGCTCGGCTCAGCTCAAGGAAAACATATAACAATGTTCACTCGTTAGTTGACCTTTTTTGAATCAGTACTAACTTGATGTGCTCCACACTGGGAGAAAAGGTGAAATGTCAGCAGAAATTATGTATTTGGGACAAGAAAAATGAATGTTTTTGCAGGCTACAAAAGCGAAGGAGAGCTGAGCAGGAACAGAACTGGAAAACAATGGAGCCACCATGCCCCCTACCGACCAGGATTGATGTGTTCTCCTCTCTCTGCATGATAAGACAAGGAGCAAGAATGGATGATGGATGATGACAAGGACAGGAGAGTGAACTGTGGCACAAGAAAGGCTGTTTAAGGTGCTACAGGTTGAATAGGAAGGACATAATGAAAGTAAGAAGGCAGAGGAAGGTGGAGAGATTTTGCTGACTTTCAAAATGTATCAATTGTTACACTTAACAAATTTAGATAGACAACTTACAGTCTTATTACCCACCCCTCCCAGAGTCACGTTGCTGACAAAACAGCAGGTTTTTTTTCCTGCACTGTTTGCACAACTGAAGTACAGCTCTGATCTGCTCCAAGGAAGCTGCATTTTGTGTTTTGTAAAAACAAACCCTGGTGATGAATTCTGGCTACAGAAAGAAACCACAACAAAACAACAGAGGCACTGTATGTTAGAAGATGGTAATTGTTAATTTCAGTTTAATTTATGCATTCTGAGGATACAACTGATGGCAAGGTATATGAAAAATGTTAATTGCAACTGTAAAGATGAAATCTAGCTGACATTTCATATTCTTTTTGCAACAACTTACTAGCTTTACGGGAAGAGCTGTGTGCACAGTATCCATCTTTAAGACTTGGTTTTGAACAAGTATCTAGCATTTGAAAATACTTATTTTATTTCTCCAGTTACTAAAAAATAGAACACCTGGCTGTATAGTTTCTTGAGGATGTTTTAGCCATTAATTCTAAATTTTTACATCTCATTTTTACATTTACATCAGCAGTGAGCTCCTTACCATTGTTTTTCTGAAAAAGATGTGAATACTGAATCCACACACCTACACTCCAAACTTCCACTAACCTGCATTTCCAATTAAACAGAAAGGCAGTTACATCCCCAGGGTGAAGGTCTAATTTACTTCAGAATCAGGGGAAGACACCTCTTCCACAGAGTTGAAGTGTCTCTGACACTTTTGTATAGAGACCAAGTTAAGTCAAAAGCAAGAGTTACTTATATTTGATTAAAGGCTACAATCAACAAGAGACTACCCTAGAGTACAGACTAATTAACTTTTTTGCATACTTTCCCTCCAAAAACCTTACAGTATAATTTGCAGTGATGCCAGATAATTAGCTTCATTGGGGGGAAAAAGGCAAATTTATATTATGTCCAAGGCTTACCACTAAGCAGTTCAATCCAATTTTGTACTGTTTCAGGAGGCTGGGTTTCTTTTATGTGTTTCAGAGCTTCATCAAGCAGAACATCCCCTGTAGGAGCATCTGACTTGCAGATCACCTAGGACAGAATAAAACTCAGTCAATATTTTGACTTAAATTCATATACTATAAATACCATATACCACAAATACCAATAAAAACTGGGACAATCTGTTATTGAAACCAAGGAAATTTTAATATGGAACCAGCTCTAAGAATATGCAACTTAAAAAAAAATATCTAGTTATTTAAAAAACCAACCAACTACTATCAAGGATTTTAATTACAAAGCTGTATGTTAAGTCTTAGATTATGCAGAACTTAAATTAACCTCAGTGGACTAAAACTATAATATTAATAACATGCTTAATACCTGATTTTTTTAAGGAAGATAATCCACTAACCCAGCCAGGTCCTAGGCCTGCTCCCCAAAACGAAGTGCACTACAGTGTTAAACTGCTCTTTGATGGCAGTCCATTTTACTGCTTTTGAATTTATTAAAAATATTTTAGTTAAAGAATTAGGCCATATGAAATTGAGAAATCAATTACAAGCTCAAAAAGCAGAAAAACTGGTTTTCTTCTATATATTAATGGATAAAAAACAGTTTTAAGACAACATCCATGAATTTTACAGCTCTGAAAAACACAGTGACCAGTAATACTATGTTTCATTCCCCAGCAGTTAAAACACACATATTAGGCAAAATATATTTGTACTAATAAATCTCTTAATAAACAATAACAAATACAGGATCATTTAAATTTGTTATTTAATAACTTCTAAAATTATTTGGGCTCTTCTCTCAAAAGAACCCAGGAGAACAACAGTAAAATCATTCACAGTAAATAATAAAATGTAAGAATTTGAGTGACTGGTTGTTCATCAGTATAAATACTTGTATAAACTATGTACAAATACGTTTTTTCTGGTTAGAAAAATAAGACCACCAAACAAAACCAAACAGATTAAACTAGCACTAGTCCATATGTTTGCATAAATAACAGTAACAATAAATCTTTCTTTAGGAAAAGTTTCAAAGTTGTTTATAAAAGTAACAACTAAATCTGGCAACTCAAATAGTTTTACAAGTTAGCACTTTGTAAGCAACATGTAAAACGGTAATAGGCAACTGACAGAAAAACGAACACACCAATAAAATTCCACATATAAAAGAAGCAAGTGAAAGCTCTTATTTTTTTGCAAAGCTTGACATTAATCAGAAAGGTGTTCTGGAAAAGCTTTAAGTGTCCTACTGAAAGACATCCCAAGTTTATTTCTGTAGCTGTAATAACCCCTACTACAAACAGCAGAGAAGTAGAGAGGATATTCATGGAGCCTGTAGATGATACTGAAATCAGTTGCAATGGTAAAACAGCTTCAATACTGGCAAGATTATGTCAAACTGGGTATATGTACAAAGTCAGTGAGAAGAAATGAAAACTGCTGGGGAGATCTTTGCGAATACCTAACAGTCATAGCTGGAATACTATTTCCAATTTAGATGGTATGTATAAAGCACATAAACTAAGAATTTAATTAACAACCAGCAAGAATTAACCAGTCCACAACACAAGCTTAAAAAGAAAAAAGATTGTTCAGAAGTAAAAAGAAAGCATGTAACATATTTTTACAAAGAGAGTACTGAACTGTCATTTAGGGTGGCTACTTGGGGAAAAATAAGATACTAGCTTATTCTGGAAATAAGGGAGATTGAGAGGTTACACTGCCAAAAACTTCAACAGCCAAATTAAACACCCCAAAGAGCCACTGAATCGCATCCAGTGAAGAATTTCAAGACTAAATATCTGCCAAGGAGGCACCAAAGAAACCTCATAACCTGTTACTGCCTCAAGATTAAATGGTCCCTTGAGATACTGTCCAGGTCTCCATTTTTGGGACCTAGAGATCACTCCAGCTATAAACCGCAGATATTAGGTTTTAAGAACACAACCATATTTTAATCCAGATAAACCCTATGTGAAAGTAATCACACAACGAGTATTTATCTTTCTCATTTACAACCTTGCACCAGTGTCACTCAAAACCTCTATTAACCATATATAAATATATTATGCATCTTCCAATTTTATATGAAGATCCTGAACTTTTGGAAGTTGCTGTTCTTTAATTATACAGAAGCATAATTCAAGCTGGGTTTTTGAGATGCTGGAGTGTGGCTATTATTAACCACCTTCTAGATATTCTTTTGATAATTAGCCTTAGAGTGTCTGATTTATTTATCTTCTTTTTAAGACTGATATGTCAGCAGTATTTTCATTTCTTTGAAATGTCCCATATGATTAGTTTCAGAGTAATCTTAGTTACATTGCATCGCCCTAGCATGATGCAGTGGGTAACATACTACTCACCATCTCACTTCAATAGATAAGATGTGTAGTGATCTTTTTGACACTCTTTATTATTTTAAAAATAAAAACCAACCAAACCTCACTGAAGAGATTTAAAAATGCTTTTACGTCTAGGGTAAAGTTGGGGGTATTTAAGTTTAGAAAATAACTTCCCTTGCTTATCTGGGGTTAAGATACTTTTTTCCTACCACAGTTTAAGAACCTAGTCTGAATATAATGAAGCATGACAGTATGAGCCTAAGCATACAGGCACTTGGAGGAAAGAGATGTAAAGAGTATAGAGTCCCCCATTCAATTCAGTCAGAACTCCATAAGCTCTTGTGAAGCTACAATGCACAGTGACTTTACTTCTAAGCCTATTATCATCTGCAGCAAGGCATACAGCACTGCTTCTTCTCACTTCTCTGCTATACTGAAAATGCACTTCACAGGTTCTTCTGATTATTCTTCTCCTCAAATAAAAACAATCTGGTTCATACTTCCATGGTATTTCCCTTCCCAACACAGGGAGACAGGCAACAACAGAAGCCCAGCCATCTCTCTCCTATCTTCATGGATCTGCTCTTTCTTGGATAGGGATTTATCAATGAATGTTTCCTGACTATCTCTCTTCAGAGTTGTAGCAGCACAAGAAGAGTGGGAAATTGAGCAGGTTAGGGATCTTGTTAATTGAATCATCACAGAAGATTAAGCATCCACAAGGGAGAATTTTCTTTCTCTCTTCAATAAATGAGCTAAGGTAGAGAAAGAAGCTAAGACCTTGGTTCTTCAGAGATGATAGTCCTCACCTTTATGTCAAAAAAATATTGGTTATTCCAATTTTTCAGTAATTTATCAGGTACTAGATTTGTCTTGGATCTAACTGCTGAGGAATTTCGATTATACAGAATATTTAATTTGCATATTCCATGACGCAGCTTTGCAATTAAGCAATGCTGAAGATTAAGCACCACGTGCTGATTTTTAGATAAATTTCATTATTTAGTTTTAATACAAAAATTTACTCATGCATGAAAGGCTCATAATTGACAGCTATAAAATACTGAAGTTAATATGCCAAGGATTTGTTGGGATTTCTTCTGTTAACAGAACTCTAATATTTGGTTTGCCTTCTGATGCTGTAAGGCAGCATAGAGTACCATTTTCTACCTTAAATAACCACTAGTCTTAGAAATTACTTTATTTATATAAAAGCCCCAGAGTTGATTTGTTTCTAAAACTTATACCAGTAGATACAACTCCAACATTATGTGATGATTACATACTCTTAAGTCAAGTTTACTAGGATGTTGCAACATAAAGTATGTCATATTGACTTTCAAAGTTTCACTAACATCCATCAAGTCCTTGTCTGCCAGCTTCTCATTTGTCTCTCTCTGACATTCAAACATGGATTTAATGCATCTTGATCCTTTCTGAAGTTCTGTCTTAGAAAATGCAAAACAATCATCATCAAAGAGCCACTTGATTTAAGGCTTGGAGTGGAAGTCATTGTAGCTAGCGATCTTTTAAGTCAGCTGTATGACCAAGGGCACAGTTATAGCCACTTATAAATCTATACCACTGCCCAAAAAAATAGTTCTATCCTCTTCTTGTTCTCACCTTATTGCTTGTGCCAGCAGTTTCACTTGTGCCCCACCTGACAACACATTCAAGCAAGCAATTCAAGTAAAAACGAAACTAATCAAAGAACTGTATTAGTTTTCAGCCAGAGGGGTCACCTCACAAGGCTGTACAAATGCTAGCAACAATCCAACAGGTACTCCAATAAGCCTCCTTACAAAGGTAGCACTACCCTCCTCAGCTGCAACACAAGCTGAAGTGACTGAATCCTAAACTCGCTTAAACACATGGTCTGAAAATACAGGTTTCTGAATTACAAACCAAAGCTTTGTGTTTTAAGTAGGTTCTAGCTTGGACAAGGAGGGCCCTTGGTAGAGTTGAGTCACATCTAGCCAATACAGAAACAAGACTGAAATTTGGTGTTTGTGCAAAACATACCTAACCACCTCCAAAACCACATGATAAATTTTAACAAAAAAACCCAAAACCAAACCAAAATGAAAAACCACAAACAAAAAAACCCTATTAAGAAACAAAAAAAACCCCACAACTACAAAACAAACCACCCAAAAGAATACAGTAATTTTGCTTGTATTCTTATATGCCCAGGTTATAATCCTGCTTTCCTGGGGGAAAAAAAGTTAAAATTCCAGGTAGATAGAGCTGACAAGGCTTGCACAGAATAAAAATAACTGCTAAAGAACATTCTTGAATATCTAAGGATTTGATTTGGAGGGTTGGAGGGGAAAAAAAAGTGTAAACCAATAAATGCTGAATATGCTTAAATGAAGCTAAAAGAAGCAGAAGGTGTTTGTCTGAACAGAGGTTTGATTATTTAGAAGAGGAGGCAGCTGGGAGAAGGATGGAGAATTTTTAAACATTCCTTTAAAAAATGAGCAAAAGACAGTATTTTCAGGGAAATGTGCCATACAAGGGAATTTATCTGTTGTGGATTGACAAAATTTGACTATGTATTCAATAAGCTTATTTTACAAGTACCCTTTAATGCTGATGAAGTAAAAATTCTCCAGTGCGACTATGCACACTTGGTACAAAAGAAAACTCCAGCAGAAAAAGTAACAGATTAAGGCCTCAACCCTTCAGCCTAATTCAATACTGGACCTTAAAAATTTGTCCATCTTAAAGGTGAGCGAGTACAATACATTTAACACATCGGTCACATGCTTAAACAATATACAGTTATGTGTTCTGAGGCACCCAAGGTACAAGAATGATTTCCTTTCTGTGCACTGCAAGCACAAAATGCAACGCTGGGCACACCAGAATTAAACTGGTGGCTTGCAGGATACACATAGCAGGCTGTCAGTTAGCCGTTCCTTTCAGCCTCAGCCCACATCTCGCCACCATTGCGAAAGTCGGTTCTTTCAGCTGAGTATAACTGGTGCTACTGGCTCTCAGCAGCAACTACTGCCATCGCACCCTGACCAGAGCCACTGCCAACTGTTTGTGCAAGGTTCCCAACAGTGGCAGGGACACGTCAAGACAACAAACAGGTGAAGATAACAAGTATACCAGGTATTACAAGGCAGTTCAGCTCGGCATTTAAATACTTTGCGCATCTTAGGTCACTATTCAGAATCCCTATCCCCACGTAATGAAAAAAAGAGTCTTTTTTTTACAACCAGCTGTAATTTTTAACTACTGTACTGCCAGGAGCATGACACAAATGTAAAGGAGATCACTTTCCTCCACTTACCTTTCTTGTTAGTAGACTTTTGCGCCTCATTCCACAGGTCTCTAGCTGAAGACGCCCACGCAGCGCCAATTCGATTAACATACAGCCACGCAATCCTGAGGAGATGCAATCATTCCAGAATGATGTGTAACCCTGTGAAGAATTAAAGACAGTAAGAGATGTCCATCTCCCCCTGAAAGCAAATTGAAAAAGGGACTTTACTTCATTGTCTAAGCAGTTCTCCTGCCTTCATACACTTCTGAAGTACCATCACTAGTCAACTACCATTCCTGTACTGAAAAAATGAGATAGCTTCATCCCCTAATAGCTTTGACACAATCTTTGCTTTCTGAAGAACAGGGAAACCTCAGGAAAGTGATACAAAACAACAAGATACCAAGAACTGCAAGATACAAATTGTAGTTAACACAGTTAAAATAAACGTACTAATTTATGAGACATCAGGTTTTGATAATAGCAACATCACATATGCTTATCTGGGAGTCTTAGGAAATATTAGAATGATTTTACATTCATAAAGAACACACCACTCATTAACTAAAAACAGCCTGAAAATCAATACTGAGTAAAATACAGAGTATAATGGAAACACGAATGTGGCAATAAAGACAAACCACAGAAAAAAATTTCAGCTTGAATATAGTAAACCGGAGGACCAAGCAAATATTTGGAAAAGCTACTATTTTGTCATTTAAATCTTTTGAAAACATGCATTTTTAAAGCTTGATGCTTCTTATTCTTCTTACACAGACTGCAAAACTGCAAACCACACATATTCTATGAACCACACCATATTTACTGTGTTTTTTCTTCTCCATTTCTGCATTCAAAGAATCATAGAATTGTTTGTGTTGGAAGGGACCTTAAAGATCATCTAGTTTCAATCTCTCTGCATGGGCAGGGACACCTCCCACTAGACCAGGCTGCTCAAAGGCCCATCCAACCTTGTCTTGAACACTTCCAGGGATGGGGCATGAACAACTTCCGAGTTACCTGCTCCAGTGGCTCACTACCTTCACAGTAAATAACTTCTTCCTAATATCTCACACAAATCTACTGTCTTTCAGCTGAAAAGCATTCCTCCTCATCCTATCACTTCATGCCCTTGTCTAAAGTCCCTCCCCAGCTTTCCTGTAGTCCCTTCAGACACTGGAAGGCTGCTATGAGGTCTCCCCAGAGCCTTCTCCTCTGCAGGCTGAAAAAACCCCAACTCTCTCAGCCTGTCTTCATAGGGGAGGTGCTCCAGCCCTCACATCATCTTCATGGCCCTCCTCTGGGCCCTTTGATGGGGGCTCCAGAACTAGACACAGTACTCCCGGTGTGTCTTAAAAGAGCCGAGTAAAGGAGGAGAATCACCTCCCTTGACCTGCTGGCCACACTTCTTTAGATGCGGCCCAGGACACAGTTGGCTTCCTGGGATGCAAGCACACACTGTTAGCTCATCAGCAAACACTACCAAGTCCCTCTCAGGGTTGCTCTCAATTCATTCTCTGCACAGCCTGTAATTGTGCTTAGGATCGCCCAGAACCAGCTGCAGGACCTTGCAACTTGGTTTTGGTGAACTTCATGTGCTTTTCACAGGCCCACCTCTCAAGCCTATCAAGGTCCCTCTGGATGGCATCGGTTCTCCCCAGGGTGTTGACCATATCATAGAGCTTGGTGCTGGCAGCAAACCTGCCAAGGGTCCCACTCAATTCCACTGTCCATGTCACCAAAGATGTTAAACAGCACCAGGCCCAGTACTGATTTCTGAGGAACACCACTCGTTATCAGTTTGCACGTGGACATTGAGCTGTTAACTGCAACTCTTTGAGTGCAGCCATTCAGCCAGTTCCTTATGCACCATGTGATCTGTCCATCAAGTCCATGTGTCTTCGACTTAAAGACAAGGATATTGTGTCAAATGCTTTTTTATCCAGGTATATGACATCAGTTGCCCTTTTCTTATCCACCAATGTTGTAACCCTGTCATAGAAGACAACCAATTTGTTAAGCATGATTTGCCCTTAGTGAAGTCACCTCCTTCTGTTTCATGTGCCTTAACATAGTTTCCTGGAGGGTCTGCTCTGTGATCTTGCTGGGCTGGGGTGAGACTGACTAGCTTGTATTTCCCTGGGACTTCTTTTTTTCCCTTTTTAAAAATGGGGGTTATGTTTCCCCTTTTCCATTCAGTGGGAACTGCATCTGACTGCCAAGACTTCTCAAACAGGATAGATAGCAGCTTAGCAACTTCATCTGCCATTTGCCTCAGGAGCCACAGAAGGATCTCATCAAGTCCCCTGGATTTCTGCACCTTCAGGGTTCTTAGATGGTCTTGAACCTGCTCTACCCCTACAGCAAGTGGTTCTTCATTCTCCCAGTCCTTGCCTTTGCTTTCAGTGACTTGGGTGATGTGGCTCAAGCATTTGGCAGTGAAGACTGAGGCTTTGAGTACCTCAATCTTCTCCATATTGCAGGTAATGAGATAGCCCATTTCCTTCGGGAGAGGGACCACACTTTCCCTAGTGTTCCTTTTATCACCAACATAACTGTAGAAGCTTATCTTCTTACCCTTTATGTCCCTGGCCAGATTTACTTCTCTCAGGGCTTTAGCCTTCCTAACCTGATCCCTGGCTGCTCACACAATTTCTCTGTATTCCTCTCAGGCCTTATGCCTCCCAGGCTTCCTCCTTGTGTTTGAGTTCATCCAGAAGCATTCTGTTCATCCCTGCTGGCCTCCTAGCATTTCTACCTGACTTCCTTGTTGTTGGGAAGCATATTGCTCTGGAGCTTGCAGGAAGTGACCCTTGAATAACAACTGGCTTTCTTGGGTCCCTCTTCCTTCCAGTACCTCTCATGGTACTCTAATAGGCAGGTCCTCTAAGATACCAATGTCTGCTCTCCTGAAATCTAGGGTAGAGAGATTGGTGTGTGCCCTCTTCACTGCTCTAATGATCTTGAATTCCACCATTTCATGATCACAGCAGCCATGGCTGCCCTTGAGCCCATCAACTCCTCCTTCTTGGTGAGACCAAGGTCCAGCATAGCACTTCTCCTTGTTGGTTCCAACATCACTTGCAAAAGGAAATTATTATCAACACACTGCAGGAGCCTCCTGGCTTGCTCATGCCCTGCTGTGCTGTCCCTCCTTTCAATCCTAACTCATAAACTCTCAATTGACTCCTCATCCATCCCCAGGCAGAGCTCCAGTCACTGCAGCTGGTCATTAATGTAGAAAGAGTAACACCCTGTCATCTACCTTGCTTGTCCTTCCTAAAGCGCCTGTATCCTTCAATTCCTATGCTCCAGTCATAGGAGTACTCCAACCGTGTTTCCATGTGTTCACGTTCAGTGTAACTGAAAATTACTAGAAGCAGACGTTTATCTCTGACATTACAAACAGCTTCTTGGCATCTGCTTTAAATGGCATACAGCAAACTAGAAAAAGGTGCAAAAAAGAGAAACAATAATGCTCAGCATTACAGAATTACTGTCTATTAAAAAGGCTACCTATGGACAGTGAAGAAAAGAATTAAAGGGGTAGAGAATAATATTAGATGGAGAGGGAGAATAGCAATATAGAATAATGTGCACAGGTCCACAGACAAGAACTTAAAGCGGCTAAATGAAGCCAGCTCACAGGCATGTTTCCATTAAACTATATTTACAGGAAGACAGAAGTTTAAAAAGTCTTATAAAAATTAGTTAAATTCATAGGAGACTGATAATTCATAGGATCAATCTCATAGCAGCAACAGATCTGTAAACTAGGCATGGCCTAGGAAGCTGCCACCATGTTGAAGTCAGTGTACACTGGAGGAGTCGTCGTTCTGTGTACGGGTGTTCCCTGAAATGTGCACACCATTACAGGGTATGGAACAAACTAGGAATTTGCTTCGACCTTTTAACACTGTTCTCACCATTATTCCAATACTTAACAGTCTCAGAATACTTAGGTTGAAGATCAAAGTCCACTGTTCATAGATGCAAGTCATTCCACTATTTAATGTCCTCAAACAGAACCAGTTTTCTCACAAATACAACACCCAAGTGTTTTTACTTTATCCATCTTCCTACAAGTCTTTTGTAATTTTATAAACATCCTAACACAATGAAATACTTATTTAATTCAAGTTACTAAGCAGTGGGGGAGAGAGGGGAAGTCTTACAAGTCAGGGAATTATTTTTATCTGACAGCAATCACACTGGAATAGCATTTTAAGTTATTAATAGCTCACAAGACAAACTTTTACATCTACATTTGTTCAAAGATCAAAAGAATGTTTACAACTGTCATGTTTATTGACACAAACACAGAACAAAAGCATTTTTCATCAGAGCTGACCTAACATTTTTCAGGTAAAAAATAGTTTTCCTAGACAAGCATAAAGGGAAATGAGAATAAAGTTTGCTACAGAAACTTGTTACCATATTAACTTAGAAATTCAGACTTTCCAAGTATTGCAATGCACAGAGCTAAGATTAAGATCCTCTTTCTGCAGGAAGAATGTTATCCAAAATCCAGGTTTGTTAGGCCATTTCTTTTCCATTACCTTCATCAACATTTATTTGCTTTGTCCTCTCCCCATGTCCCTTACCCAGTTTCCAGCTCACACACCTCTTCCCAGTTAGCCATTAACCACCTGAAACTCTCATTTACTGTAATCTAACGATAGCCCTGTGCCTCAGTATTACCCAACCTACCTTTTCTTCCACTCCCTGCTTTTACTTTGCCTCTTCAGCAGCACTTTCTCACCAAACTGTGATACCCTCTCTCCTAGAGGCTCCCTTTCCCACCTTACTGTGATACGTAATAAATCAGCTTATCGCTTTCACATTTATAGATTTGGATTTCTGCAACCGTCATGGACTTCCATAGATCTGTTCACACAGACAGTGCAGGCAAGCCAGCAAAGTATCTTCACTTTATATGGTAACCATCTTATTGCTGTCTCTGCTCTACGAAAAGGACAAAGCCATGACTTAGCAGACGTACAAATAATATGTACCAATACGCTGGGTGTAGCTTGGCTGTGCAAAGCACAGTAAGTAGGAAGAAGCTGCAAAAGTTTGTAAGAGTATTCCAGCTCAGATCTGCACACAGAACAGTGTAAATATATACATATTAGGACCCAGACTCCTATAGATGCTGGCACACAGAGTGCAACAGAAGAGAGAGCTCATATGCATATCCTGCAGGGAAGGAAGGGACAGGGAAGAGACCCTGAGCGCAAACATACTACCAGTGTCCCTTGAAATTTCAACTCACATTATTCCCTAACAACATGCTTTCGCAATCTGCCTCCAACATCCCTGACTCTTAAGCTTCACAAATCAATACTTAAAAATGGAATAGCGTCCTAGAACTTGCAAAAAAAGTGCTTCTAAAGATTGATGGAAATCACAAAAACTCTTGCACAGGCAAAGAAACAATGTCATCCAGCAGCTCAAAGATCACCACCCGTTATAAAAAACCTAATGGGATAATCTGTTTATGATATAACAAAACCACTGCTACCTGGGCAAACTATAGAGAGAAAAAACACATACGCATTAGCTCTGGCAATACCACAGCATTCTGAATTTGGTGGCTATCCAAACACTTTGTTGGAGCACTCAGTACTAAGTATTACAAAAGAACAGCTGTTGCAGAAACACTGAAGTACACTTTCTAGAACACAATGATTTTCAGCTTTTCAAGACTAAAAATTTAAATTTTTGGGTTGATGGTTGGACCTAGTGATCTTAGAGGTCCTTTCCAACCACGACTGTTCTATGATTCTGGATATTTGAAATCTGTAGGTTACTGGAGAGATTTTCTAATTCAAACATTATGAGTAGAAATGCTTTTAAATAGAGGACAGATAAAACAATGCTTTCTGCATTTCTGATCCAAAAAGCACTACAGTAATAACCCTGGTAATTTGCACAAAAGGTATGTAAAAAATCAGAATGAGAGGACTCAAATATGACCACACATGCCTGAAGGTGTTTGGCAAAGATCAGTGTTATGATTTCTACACAATCAATGCTGCTGTACGAAGTTGCACAAAACCTAAGAACACCTCACTTAAACACAAAGCAACCAACCTTCATTGCACTAATTCAGTTACCTCTGACACTGCTCTACTCACCTTCCAAGCAATTGTCACACTGGCTCTATTTAAAACAAAGAAAACTAAACAAAAAACAAACAAACAAACAAACCCCACAAAAAAACCCTCACCAAATTCCACCCAAACAAACCTCTGTAATTTTTGTTTCCTAAGTGCAAATTAAAGCCACCCAGTAGTAATGGCACAAAAAAATGAAATTAAAATTGCAGATGTCATTCTACATTTATAGATATCACCTTGAATACTGATGGAGAAGTAAACTTTAATGGAGTACAAAGTGAAACCTGAAAAAGTACTTCCTTCATAAAACTCAGCACGAAAGACTCACAGGAGACCCGGTAACGTTTTACTTAGGATACTTCGTCTTACGTTTAAGAATTATTAAGAAAACCTCTTCCCACTACAGAAATATACATTCTCTTTCCAATTCTTTAGTTAGCTAATAATACCAGAGCAGCAGTTTCACTATAACTGGCACAGACAAGGAAACAGTGAGGAAGACTGAAAAATCCATTTACATCTCTCCGATGTGAAAGAAAGGAAAGTAAGTATTTGCTGAGTTCCAAAGCTGAGGCCTCAAGATATGCACATGGTAGTAAAAAAAGAAAAATAAAAATACATGTTTAACTTACTTGGTTAGGACCACCTGTTTACAGAACATTGCACAGCACAATGCAGAATGTAGCTGCCAATACATTCTGGATTTAATTCAGTGAGTCTCAAACTACTACAGATTCCTGTGCAGACCACAGAGCTATGGCAAATGGAAATCAGCCTTGTAAGTCTTTTAAAAGAACATCGTATAGCCATGTAATAGTCTGTGAAAATTACAGTATGGTTGCAAAAATATAAATTACTTCTTTATACTACCAACAACAGGCCCCTGAGGCCCACCAACAGATACACATCATGTTCAGTGTTAGAGGTTAGTATTATGCCAAAGATTTGGCCCTGACTCAGACTTAATTTACATTTATGAAGAACCACAAACCAGTCTACACTTCTCTTATTAAAAAACTTTTAATTTTACATTCAGACTTAACTGTACTCCGTAAAACCTCAACTAGCACCCCCTACTTGAATGCAAACCAAAAGTCTACAGTAACCAAAATTATATAAAGCAAGCAATTAAAAGAGAACCTTCTGAATTATAAACATCACTAGACCTACCCAAAGCCCTGGGTTTTTGTTTTCAGGAAATTCCAAACTCTTTTTTTATGAAAGACACAAAGACTTCAAAATTTAGTAAAGAATGCAATTTCTGAAACTTCATGTAGAGACAACAGAAATAAAATGCTACTTTAACTCTTTGCAGCCATAGTAGTCCCATCAGAAGGGGAGCTAGCCAACTCTG